AACAAACACAGAGTTAGGAGAAAGAACCGATCACCACTAGGGCTCGGGGGTTGGCTCCTTAACGAAGATTCCCTTACCCTGTCTGATCATCCCTGTGTGAGTTCGATAGAAGGTGAAGCAATGGGTTGGCGTCTGACATGTTCTCAGGGCGAGGGTGGGGATTCACAGGTCTCCTGACGGTAGGTAGCTGTCTGATTGTGGGGGCCATATTCCTAACACACTCAGACCCTCCTGATCAGCCAGAAGTAGTAGTTAACCAAACACAAGTTGATAAAATAATACCTGAGCACAGTCTACGAAGGCATAGGAGACAGCTAGACGTAGGGAAAGGGGAAGTACTAGGGACTTTAGGGAAGGGCATCACCATATGTATGTCACCATGTACATCCTGGGACTATGTAGTTGCTCATACCGAGGGGGGGGGGGGGGATATGTAAATCTCCATACACAGTTTAGGGACAGGTGTAGTATTGTGAAAGTAGGGAATTACCAGAAATGGCAGTGCGACCCATAGAAGGGTAGGTACTGTCTGAAAGTCTGAAGTACGCAAAAACAGGTTTATCCTCCATGCAAGCCACCTGGGAATGTGGTGAAAGAGTCTTGTAGTAACTTGAACTATCTGTATCCCCCGATAACAAAGTCATTCCGACCTAGGTTGCCTACGTTTGAAGTCTCAGGGGATTCTAATTGTTTTTCTAGGACTAGTAAGATAGGATACAGAGTAGGGCATCTTAGCTCCTGCTCCTATACAGAGAATATCACAACTAAAAGAGACCATGACTAATCTCTCCTCTTTGTTGCAGCCAGAGGATTTTAGGAACCAAAACCAGGCCCGTGCTGACATCTGATGGTTGTGTGGTGATAACTGATTGTGAACTCACCTACATATGTAAACAATCAAACGTGTCAGAGACTGGTGAGTTGTCACGTAGAAAGTAGGACCTCCTGCCGGGATCCTTTGATGAAAGGATATATATATATTGATGGGATAGGAGTACCTCGAGGGGTTCCAGAACAATTCAAAGCTAGGAATCAGATCGCAGCTGAGTTTGAATTAAGTCTTTTTTGGTGGTCAACAATTAATAAAAACGTAGATTGGATGAATTATATTTACTATAACCAGCAAAGATTTATAAACCACCCTCGTGATGCATTAAAGGGATTAGCTGAGCAGACAGCGACAACTAGCTTAATGACATGGCAGAATAGAACAGCTTTAGATATGCTTTTGGCTGAGCGGGGCGGAGTTTGTGTTCTGTTTGGATATATGTGCTGTATTTTCATCCTCAAACAATATAGCACCGGACGGGTCCGTGACAAAAGAGCTTCAGGGGAGTAACTACGCTGACGAACGAACTGGCTGAGAACTCTGGTATTGATAGCTCCATAAACGGTTGGTTTGATAACATATTTGAAAAATGGAAAACTATTGTTGTAACTATTCTGGGTGAAGTTATAGCTTCTATGGGTATACTTGTTCTTTGTGGATGTTGTCTTATTTTCTGTGTCTGAGGTTTGGTGAGAAAGGAGATGGGGAAGGTGGTTTCCCAATAGATGGTGAGATACGGCCCAATCCTGGACTCCAACCTAGGAATGGAGGATATGACCTATCAGGCTTGGTGGAGTGACACTAGAGGGTGTCTAAAGGGGGCCAAAATGTACTTCTCTGTTTGTGTTTTATGTTTTAATAGTCTTATGTTTTGTGTTCTATTAATCCTTTGTTTTATGGTTTGAAGTTCCTTGGTGACTGGTAACAATTTGCAAGTTGGGTGTAGATGGACTGAGGGTTTTTATTTTTAGTATCATCATAGCCTATTAATAAAAGTGTGATTATTTTTGTTTGTATTGTATTTTAATGAATGACACCCTGTGTTTTCTTATTTTTTGAATCACACCCTAGTGGGTGTGAAAAGGGGGATTATGGGGGATTTATTATTTTTATAATTGATGGGATGACTAACTTAGAAAGAATGCATTCTTGACTGGGCTAATGTAGGTTGTGTCACCTGGCAAGCTGTGATTGATGTGAAGAGCTGTTTTAGGGGATAAGATAAGATAATTATTTGTGTCTCCAAATACTAGACAATACTGGTTCTTTGTGATCTGTGAACCATCCTTGGACGTAGGAATGGTGTCTAGGGGAGCTGGCTCTTCTCACTATGACAGGTTGTTATGATAAACGTATGCCAGGTAACAGAAGATGCGGGGAACAGCCGGTGCGCCAACGGATAGGCTGAGTAAGTCTAAACCACGCTCAAGTCTCTACTCTGATTGGCCAGCAGAGAGGTGGGAACTCTCTCTCTGTCAGAGTATTTGAGGAAAAACCTAAAACAATGGATTAGTTCTCTGAAGTGCCCTGCGAGGTATTTCAAGGAGCCCGTATATACGAAACATCATATTTACCATTGAAGGTTTTTGCATTCATTAAAATAACTAGTATATCTTAGAAGTCGTGTTGACCTCTTTTGTTCCTAATACCAGATTTGAATTGGCGCAACTTTGACACTGGCCTTTGTGTCTTAAAGTAACTGTTGTTTCTCGTTGCTTATATGAGCTGTTCTTGCTATGATATGGACTTGGTCTTTTAACAAATCGGGATATCTTCTGTATACCACCCCTACCTTGTCAAAACACAACTGATTGGCTCAAACACATTAAGGAAAGAAATTCCACAAATTAACTTTTACCAAGGCACACCTTTTAATTGAAATGCATTCCAGGTGACTACCTCATGAAGCTGGTTGAGAGAATGCCAAGAGTGTGCAAAGCTGTCATCAAGGCAAAGGGTGGCTACTTTGAAGAATCTCAAATATAACATATATTTTGGTTTGTTTAACACTTTTTGGGTTACTGCATGATTCCATATGTGTTTTACAATGTAGAAAATAGTAAAAATAAAGAACAACCCTGGAATGAGTAGGTATGTCCAAACTTTTGACTGGTACCGTATGTGTGATGGGATGTATAGAAAATATGGACAGTATATGGATAGAATGTGTAGTATATCTGAAGAATAGTATATGTACAGCAATAGTTAAATAGGATAGGCGTTGACTAGAATACAGTATATACATATGAAGTGGGTAAAACTGTATGTAAACATTATTTAAAGTGACCAGTGTTCAATGACTATGTACATAGGGCAGCAGCCTCTGGTGCATGGTAGAGTAACCAGGTGGTAGCCATCTAGTGACAGTGACTAAAGTTCAGGGCAGGGTACTGGGCGGGGACCGGCTAGTGGTGACTGTTTAACAGTCTGATAGCCTTGAGATAGAAGCTGTTTTTCAGTCTTTCGGTCACAGCTTTGATGCATCTGTACTGACCTCGCCTTCTGGATGGTAGTGGGGTGAACATGCCGTGGCTGATCTTCTTGGCCTTCCTGTGACACCGGGTGCTGTATATGTCCTGGAGGGCAATGTGCCCCCGGTGATGCGTTGGGTAGACCGTACCACCCTCTGAAGAGCCCAGCGGTTGCAGACGGTGTAGTTGACATACCAGATGGTGATACAGCCCGACAGGATGCTCTCAATGGTGCATCTGTTAAAGTTTGTGAGGGTCTAAAGGGCCAAGCCGAATTTCTTCCGCCTGCTGAGGTTGAAGTGGCGCTGTTGCGCCTTCTTCACCACACTGTCTGTGTGGGTGGAACATTTCAGAGTGTCAGTGATGTGTACGCCGAGGAACTTGAAGCTTTTCACCTTCTCCACTGCGGCCCTATCTATGTGGATGGTGGCATGCTCCCTCTGCTGTCTCCTGAAGTCCACGATCAGCTCCTTTGTTTTGTTGAAGTTGAGGGAGAGGTTATTTAACTCCGCCATGGTCCTTACCTCCTCCCTGGAGGCTGTCTCGTCGTTGTTAGTAATCAGTCCAACCACTGTTGTGTCATCTGCAAACTTGATGGTTGAGTTGGAGACGTAAGTGGCCACGCAGTCATGGGTGAACAGCGAGTCAGGAGGGGGCTGAGTATGCACCCTTGTGGGGCCCCTGTGTTGAGGACCAGCGTAATGGAGGTTTTGTTCCCTACCTTCACCACCTGGGGGTGGCCCGACAGGAAGTCCAGGACCCGATTGCACAGAACCAGGGCCCCGAGCTTAATGATGAGCTTGGAGGGTACTATGGTGTTGAAGACTGAGCTGTATTCAATGAACAGCATTCTTACATAGGTATTCCTCTTGTCCAGATGGGATAGGGCAGTGTGCAGTGCGATGGCGATTGCGTCATCCGTGGATCTGTTGGGGCGGTATGCAAATTGCAGTGGGTCTAGGGTGTCGGTTAAGGTGGAGGCGATATGATCGTTAACTAGCCTCTCAAAGCACTTCATGATGACAGAAGTGAGTGCTATGGGGCGATAGTCATTTAATTCAGTTACTTTCGCTTTCTTGGGTACAGGAACAATGCTGGACATCTTGAAGCAAGTGGGAACAACAGACTGGGATAGGGAAAGATTGAATATGTCCGTAAACAATCCAGCCAGCTGGTCTGCGCATGCTCTGAGGACGTGGCTAGGGATGCCGTCTGGGCCGGCAGCCTTGCGAGGGTTAACGCGCTTAATTGTCTTACTCACGTCGGCAACGGAGAACAAGAGCTCACAGTCCACGGGTGCGGTGGTGGCCCGCGTTGGCGACATTGTGTTTCCCTCGATGCAGGCGAAGAAGGTGTTTAGCTTGTCCTGGAGCAAGACATCGGTGTCTGCAACATGGCTGGTTTTCAGATCTATCACTTTTTTTACGATAGTCATGGAACTTAGGCTTAGGAGTTTTTTTAAATAATGTTGGCCCCTCAAGGGGGGGAGTGCGTACTGGCCTTTAAATCTTTGTCCTTTGTGTTTTGTTGGACCATTTGCCATGCAGCCGGCAGTGACAGAGAGCATATAAGTTAGGATCTTTTGGTTTAAGCCATTATATGCCTCTGTGTCTACTGTGAGTATATGGATCATAAAGTAATATGGATTTTGCAGTGGTGCAGGTTGACATCATAGAGTAAACACGTCTTTCTCCACAGTCAGCACTGCTTTCTCAGAGCACAACACAAAGTTGGTGAGGGAACTGGCTGCAAATCTGAGTACAGCCAATCACATTTTGCAGAGTGATTATAACAATGTAAACACTGCAAACCAACTTTTAGCGGCTGAGAAAGAAGAGGTGTCAACAGAGAGGGATATTTTCCTGTCAATAAATATTGTTCATAAAAAGAAGACACAGGAGGTAATCCTCCTTCTTGTACATTAAAATACATTATTTATTAGATATTACACTTTAAATGAATATACAGTATGATAATACTAATATTGCTTATATTGTAGGGAGTGTGTAACTCTTGTCAAGGTGGCTGGATGTTGTTCCAATCTAGTTGTTACCTGATTTTGCACCCTGCCGCTCCATGGAAGAACTGGACAGAAAGCCAACAATATTGCAAACAAGAGAATGCTGATTTGGCTGTCATTAGCAGCCAAGAGGATCAGGTAGCACACTGGTACAAACAAGAGTTTTGAGGGACCGATTCACTCAACCTTTAAGTAACTCAAACAATGAAAATGAATAAAAAGTGAAATAGGAACTAGATTAAAATGTGTGATAGCTATGAGCTCAGGGTAAAGCAGTCATAACTGAAAGACAAAAGCCCATTACAATGCTACTTCCTGTTGTGCTCTTTGTTATATTCTCATTTGGACCTGATTACATCCATTAGATCCAGTATTTACACACTGCCTCCCGAAACTGTGAATTATGAGAACTGTTTCACTCACTTTTCATTCATAACCACACTCAACACTACTATGATAAACATCGTGGATACTGGATCGGCCTGACTGACATAGCTAAAGACGGCCAATGGCTTTGGATTGATGGAAGTCATCAGAATCTGATTGATGGGTAATGACATTTCATTCAGTATAAACACAACAAAGAGGCATTGTTAAATCATTATTTGATTCAGTCGTTTCTTTTCATTCATGGTGGTGTTCTCTTTTCACAGGTTTTGGAACAGTCAAACTGGAGGTAATTGCGTGTTAACTGACCCAAATAATGCACCATTGGCTAATTGGAATGCTGCATGGTGTAGCATGAAGAACCATTGGATCTGTGAGTAGAGCATTAATATGGTCAGATTAAATTGCAGGGACACTCTCTTAAGAGGTATTCTCACATACTGAACCCATATATTATTGCATCTCCCTATGAGAATTAAATTGAGTTATATTCTTCTACTTTAAGGACCAATGACATCTGTCTGTTGGGGTCAATTTGAATTCACTCAATTCAAGAAGTGATTTTAATAAAACATTTACAATGGAAAACCTTAATTAGCTGAATTCAATTTGAATTGACCCCAATCAGCATCTGTTTTGTACCTTCTTGATATGTTAACAACCAAGGATCTGTTGTAATGTAGCTACAGTGAATTAAAAAAATAATGTTTAGTTTTGAGCTTTCATATAAATCAAGCACATTCACTTTAATATCAATAATTTCACTTTAATTAATGTTCTTCTATTGTCTTATTGTATTATGTTCCGTACAGTTGTTGAAATTTTCACAATCATAGATCACCTGTATGTATAGTCATGTTTAATAATAACATTTGTTTTGGTCTTTCATAGATCAGAAATCATATAATATTCAGTTTACAAAGCAAAGCAGGACTTGTCTTCAAAGATTGTCTTCCTTCCATTTTGAAAGATCATAGCATATGAAGTACAAGTTTAATACATAGAATGGAAGTTTCAAGTTTTTTATGAAATCACTCCGTTGTATAAACAATGTAATATTTCTGCTAAATCAGTAGCTTTAGGCACTTGATGAAATTCACCTTTAAAGCGGCAATCAGCACTTGAAACAATAATAAAGCCAATTCCCCATCCCTGTTTTGGTCCCTGTTTTGGTAAAAAGCTGAGGGATGGGGCTGGAGAAATGGAACCACTCTCAAATTCATAGACTCCATGATATCAAAATGCTAGTTTTAACCATGTAATGAGGCTAAATAGTGTTTGGTTACATTTACTTTGTTTACAAATATTGGAGAAAAACAAGCATATATTTTGGGTTCTGGGTACGACAGTTGAACTAAGCTCATGAGGCATTTATAAGTCATATTCTTCAAAAATCAATGGGTACATATTATTAATTTATAAGTCCAAAGATGAATGTAGCAACTGCAGATTGCTTCTTAAGCATCATGCAAATGTGTGACATCACAGAAAGTAGTAAGGAAAGCTCATTGAGCAAAATAAAACAGAGACATTACTGTGCTCATACAGTGAGGGAAAAAAGTATTTGATCCCCTGCTGATTTTGTACGTTTGCCCACTGTCAAAGACATGATCAGTCTATAATTTTAATGGTAGGTTTATTTGAACAGTGAGAGACAGAATAACAACAAAGAAATCCAATACTTATTTCCCTCATTAAAATGTAAATCAATTTATAACATTTTTGACATTCTGGATTTGTTTGTTGTTATTCTGTCTCTCACTGTTCAAATAAATCTACCATTAATATTATAGACTGATAATTTCTTTGTCAGTGGGCAAATGTGCAAAATCAGCAGGGGATCAAATACTTTTTTCCCTCACTGTATATAGCAACCTCATATCTGAAGTTGATATCATGAGTATGGACTCATTGTGTAACCTGTCCCCTATTGTCTGTTTGTCCTCTTTGCATTTTATTTTTTTACTTTTTTTTTTGTTCCTCCTCCACCGATTTCACTTCTTCGCTCTCCTTTATTGCTGCATCCCGTTTCATTTTCTTTTTTGCAGAGTCCTCCACAGTCTCTGATTGGTTGGTTTCTGTATCATTAGTGTGTTCCATCTCCTCAGCCACTGGAGCCTCCTCTTTGTTCTTGGAGGACTTCTTGTTCTTTTTGATAGTAGTGTCTGAATCAGTCACTGGAAGAAATTCACAATCTGATTGACATTACTGTTCTGTTTAGAAGACTGTCTCTGCATATACATTTGCAAGTATTTTATGTAATATGTACACAATGGTTTTAGTTTATCTGATACACACATATTGTGAGACTATTTTGTGTACAAAATAACTAATCTCATCAAATTCATCTAATTGGGTAATTGATGGACAGAATAAAGGATTGGATGCCATCTTGATTAAACAAGTGGTGTAGCTATTTTCTCGGATCCATTTCGACCTCACTACTGTCCTCTGGTGACAATATTTCAACATTGCAGCTGCCCCACGTTCATATTGTAGCAACACCGCTTCCATTCAACCTCCTAGGGTTGGCTCATTAGTGTACTGAAGATTTATTGCATTCATATGGGAAATTTATTAATATTACAGACAAAAGGGAAACCGATTACTACATTTTGACACCTTAGCAAGTCAGGGCATTTCCTTTAACTTGTAACCAGTCAATGTGGCTTGGTCAACTTAAAAATCAACCAGTGACTGGAGGGTATAGAAAGGGTACGGCAAGTCTTCAGAGGTATGCTCACACTAAAACAAGAGAGGAATGAAAGACAATTGTCACGCCCTGGCTCGGGGGACTCTCGTATGTTGAGCCAGGGTGTTAGTTTCTATGTTTTGTGTTGTGGGTCTAGTTTGTATTTCTATGTTGGCCTGAGTGACTCCCAATCAGAGGCAACGAGTGTCAGCTGGTTGTCTCTGATTGGGAGCCATATTTAACTGTCTGTCTTTCACTTTGTGTTTGTGGTTTCTTGTTCTTGTTTGGTTTGTGTTAAACCGTAGACATCACGTTATCGTCCGTTGTTTTGATCGTGTGATCATTCTATTAATAAATATGTACGCATTCAACTCTGCGCCTTGGTCCTCCTCCTTAGACGATCGTGACAGAAGAAACCACCAAGATGTGACCAAGCAGCGTGTCCAGGAGCCATCGCCAGGGAGATCCCTAACAGATCTCCTTCGCCTCCTCGACTGGGTCAAGCCGAGTGAGGAAGAGAAGGGCTTGACATTGTGGCAGAAGGGCGAACGGCTGGCGAGGGACATGGAGACCTTGGCCACGGGTAGGAGTGAAGCCCAGAAATTTTTTAGGGGGGGGCTAACGCCGTGGACGACGGGCCAGCAGGAGACCGCGGCAGAGCGGCCCAGCGGATTGGCAGAGGAGGCCGCCAGGTTACGGGGGCCACTGGTCGAAGAGGGGGTGGAAGATGTAGAGGCACGGCGAGAGGTACTGGCGTGTGTTGCCAGTCCGGTCCGGCCTGTTCCTGATCCCCACGTAGGGCCAGTGGTGTGTGTTCCCAGTACGGTCCGGCCCGTTCCTGCTCTCCGCACCAAGTCTGTGGTGCGCGTCGCCAGCCCAGTCCGGCCCATACCTGCTCCCCGCACCAAGTCTGTGGTGCGTTTCGTCAGCCCGGTTCGGCCCGTTTCTGCTCCCCGCACCAAGTCAGTGGGGCGTTTCGTCAGCCCGGTTTGGCCCTCTCCTGCTCCCCGCACCAAGTCAGGGGTGCGTTTCGTCAGCCCGGCTCGGGCCGTCCCTGCTCCCCACACCAAGCCAGTGGTGTGCGTCGTCAGTCCGGCACAGCCCGTGCCTGTTCCACTGGTGCCTGGTTCGGCACGGGTCAGCTGCTTCACGCCGGAGCTAGAGCAATCCGCTCCACCAGTGTGCAGTCCAGCTCCGGTCAGCAGGGCCAGACCGGACCAGGGGTACTTTGGGGGGTTAGAGAGCGAGTGGGGTTCATGCCCGGAGCAGGATCCGCCACCTAGGCGGAGTGCCCACCCGGTCCCTCCCCTGTTGTGTTTGGTTGGCGCGGTCGGAGTCCGCGCCTTTAGGGGGGGGTACTGTCACGCCCTGGCTCGGGGGACTCTCGTATGTTGAGCCAGGGTGTTAGTTTCTATGTTTTGTGTTGTAGGTTGTGGGTCTAGTTTGTATTTCTATGTTGGCCTGAGTGACTCCCAATCAGAGGCAACGAGTGTCAGCTGGTTGTCTCTGATTGGGAGCCATATTTAACTGTCTGTCTTTCACTTTGTGTTTGTGGTTTCTTGTTCTTGTTTGGTTTGTGTTAAACCGTAGACATCACGTTATCGTCCGTTGTTTTGATCGTGTGATCATTCTATTAATAAATATGTACGCATTCAACGCTGCGCCTTGGTCCTCCTCCTTAGACGATCGTGACAACAATCCTATTTCTGTTTCTGCACATAGTTACAGTGCATTCAGAAAGTATTCAGACCCCTTGACTTTTTCCACATTTTGTTACGTCAGAGCCTTTTTCTAAAAGTGATTAAATAGTTTTTTTTCCTCATCAATCTACACACAATACCCCATAATGAATCTTCCTGGGTATGAAGCTACAAGCTTGGCACACCTGTATTTGGGGAGTTTCGTCCATTCTTCTCTGCAGATACACTCAAGCTCTGTCAGGTTGGAAGGGGAGCATCGCTGCACAGTTATTTTCAGGTCTCTCCAGAGATGTTCAATTGGGTTCAAGTCCGGGCTCTGGCTGGGCCACTCAAGGACATTTAGAGACTTGTCCCGAAGCCACTACTGTGCTGTCTTGGCTGTGTGGACAAGCTATTTTTTCAAAACTGTAATTTTTACATGAATTCTGATTATTTCCAGGGACACACAACATCCTGACATACAGTGCCTTCGGAAAGTATTCAAACCCCTTCTCTTTATCAAAATGTTGTTACGTTACAGCCTTCTAAAATTGATTAAATAAAAATAAATCCTCAGCAAACTAGCGAAAACAGGTTTTTAGAAATGTTGGCACATTTATTAAAATTTAAAAACAGAAATACCTTATTTACATAAGTATTCAGACCCTTTACTATGAGACTTGAAATTGACCTCATGTGCATCCTGTTTCCATTGATCATCCTTGAGATGTTTCTACAACTTGATTTGAGTCCACTTGTGGTAAATTCAATTGATTGGACACACCTGTCTATATAAGGTCCCACAGTTAACAGTGCATGTCAGAGCAAAAAACTAAGCCAAGAGGTCGAAGGAATTGTCCATAGAGCTCCGAGACAGGATTGTGTCGAGGCACCAATCTGGGGAAGGGTACCAAAA